GGACCACGTCATGAACCTTACAGACTACATTCCTGTTCGTACATTCCCAAACAACTCTTTTGTTTTGTCTGTCAGGAACAGGATGCTGTTGAGTCATGTTCAGCTGGTGCCTGGCTGTAACCCCAAGAGAACTTTTCTGTACAACTGCTACCCCAGCAGCCTGTCCTGTCCCTGGCCCATCCTGTATTCGTTCAGCTGCTTCTGAACAAATCTGCTGCTTTGTGTATCGTTGCTTCTGCTGAAGTAGACAGATCTGCATTTGTCAAATCCATTGGGGAATTTACTGAATGACATTCTAACTCTTGAGTTGACCAAGTTCACTTTGAATTGTAATTGTCTTCTACTCCGTCAGTAGTTAACTCGAGTCTGGTGCTCCCTACAATTTAACCAGCATATGCCATCGAAATTGTAAGTGAAAATACTAATAAACATCAAATCAGAGCAGAACTGTAGAGAATCCTACCCAATACATCCTTGCAGTCTGACTGTGAATGATTTATCATTACTTCCAAACAGGTTTTCATCACCTCACTTTTAAATTGGTGTCAGACAACATTCCCCTACTTTCTTACAGGAAGCCATCAGTCACTTAAAGCTGTGCCCACTGCTTCTCCTCTGCTCAGGAAGCTTGGTACCTTGGTGTAGAAGGAGCAACATTAGTTTGACACAATTTGATCTTTGTTGTAGAAGCTCACAGGTAGTTTCACTATTGCATTAATTTTCCAGTTTAAACTGTTGACACAGAGTTCTGAGCAGGTGGGTGGCATTAGAGAGACACGCTGAGCCTCCAGAGTCTGCAGCATCTCCCTTTGTATCTAATGCCTGAAAGTAATTTACCGTAATTCACCCATCTAGGCACAATGAATAACTACTGTTGTGCTTGTGCTGCAGACTCTTATGTATGGCAGAATAAGCAAGGATGTGAGACCCCTTGAAGTATTCACTACTCTGCCCTAACGTCTATTCCACTGAGAAGCTACATCCACAAAGCAGACAAGGCTCCTCAACAATATCTTACACTTCCTTGAAAGATGCCAGCTGACTGAATTAAAACACAGAAACAATAGAACAAATAAACGTGCATCCAGTAATAATTTCCATAGCATCAAAAGCCATGTGGTGAAACTACTCCCAACATCAACTTTGATAATAAAAGTCTTAAATTAACCTCCTCAAGAAATGTTTGCAAAGATAGATGTGGAATGAAAGTATAAATAATTACGCATCATCAACAAGGCCTGATCATTTGGCAACTCCTATCCGAAAATGATGAATGCCAGTTTTTTCCTGACATGTAAGCCTGTGCTGACTTGGGATATGATTTTCCTCAAGTCACAGTAAATACCTGCTAAACTCATTAAATCAATTCCTTGTTTAAGATGATGATGTAAGAGTGTGTAGTTAGAAAATAAGATCTTCATCAATAGGCCAACAGGACTCTTCGTCCTACAGAGTCTTCCCACATTTCTTACCACTTTAAAACCCCTGAAAGGTCTTGCTGTCTCACTTTGCACAGTTACGTATTCAGACGAATCCAGCATTTTTCAAGTGATCTTTTGTTAATCTCTGATGCTACATTTGTTCAGTTCTGAAGTGCACGCTGGATGTAGCTGCTCTTCTGCAGCGTCAGTGTATTACACTCTGCATTCCCTTCGTATCTTAGTCTAAATTAATTCGCTTTCGGAAAAGGTAAAAGTTCTTGAGGTGAGAATGGAAACCTTTAGCGAGTCAGTCACTTCACATTATTAACTAGAGGTAAATGCAAAGCAGCTTACTCATTGCACGAAGTCAAAAAGATACACAAATACGCAGAGTTACCACTGACTGAGCGGCATACTGTAAGTATGCATTCTCACTTCTCTCCTGGTAAAGTTTTCATGGGCCTGTTTCAATAAAAAATACTGCAATTATGCATTAAAATTACAGCTTTGAAGTTATGCTTTCAGAAAAAGGACAGATATGCACATATGAAATTCATAATTCATTTATTGAATATATAGATGCAAGGATACCAATAAAAAGAAACTAATACTGCAAACTACAACTTTGGAAGTAAAGCCAATATAACAGGAACAAAATATACATAACATTGTAGATAGGAATGCATTTACCCTCTTTCATACATTCCTTGTCTTTACACCTAATGTAAATGTATGCTAGAGCAAAAGCTGCAAATGTTAGCCTAACCTGAGTGCTTTTTGACAAGCAACAGTTCTCCAGGATCCTTGAAGGGTTGAGATGTCACTGCTGACGAATGAACGTACATACGTATGCACCTATAGAAATGGCTTCAACAAGCACATTGATCAAGAGCTGTGTTCTGTTTTTTAACCTCCGTTACTAATACAGTGGAATCTGTTTCCGGTGACATGGAAGAGCAGCTACTATTTGCTATAATGTACTTTCAGTTCTCTTAATTTCATCTAATGAGTATTAATTTTCTTGTCAATCTGATTCAGCATATTAATATTACCTGCCAGATAAGTCTGCTATCTCAAACAGATGATCACCTCTTCATCTTTCACTCTGGTTTAGCATTAAGTTATTTTTCATATAGGCAGCAGTAAGAAGGAAGCTCTCTTCCTTTGTGTTACAGCTCAGGGCCAGATTCAGTATAATCACACCACTCCAGATCAGCACAGCTCTTCATACCTAAAGGTCAACCTCTGTGGAACGTAGGTGATGGACTTACTGCTGCCCTCCCGGAGTGAAGCTGGTGCAACTCCTACTAAAGCCCTATCACAGAACCTCCTGTGGATCACCACCTGCTGAATGAGCAGAACTTTTGATCAGCTAACCCATCTCATCCTCGCTACCTGCGCTGCTGCTGGTATTGAACCGGCCTTTCACCCTTCCTTGAAATGGAGTACTACAGTGTTTGATCACACCTTGAGACCCTGGCGTTACACCAGCTGCATCCTCAAGTTATCTGACCGATCATCTTCTGATTCCTGTCCTTCCTTGGTACAGTCCTTTCTAGTATAGCACAATCACAGATCTGCTGATGTAGAGATACAGTGAGTTGGGGAGATCTGTGAATAAAGAGATACAGGGAGCTGGGGAGAAGCCTCCCTTCTCAGTGCATTCCTGGTGTCTTAAACAGCACACACTACTCTTGCAAGCAAAAGAAATGCCCAAAGGCAAAATGAAACTCCAAAATTAAATAAAAGTGAAACCAGTTTCATAAGACGAGTTTTGTTAAATTTACGAGTTCTCCGATTGCGAGATGAAAGCAGAAGGTGCCTATTAAAAAAAAAAATCTCAGTAACAAATGGACTGCATTAATTTAACTAGCTAATTTAAACATACCTATTTCACCTATAGAGCACTTCCATTACTTCTAACATTTCTGGGAAGGCAGTAGATGCTCCAGAATAATCTTCAATATACGCTTGCAAAGATTACATTGCTTTACAAAAAAAATAAAATAAAAAAAGAATCAGACTGTCTGAAATTCCAAGCTAAAATACACATGAAAAGACAGTAATGGCAGTATTTAAAAAAATGATGTAAATGTTGTATACTATCATACATTGCCATGCTTTTTCAAACTACAATTAAGGACGTAAGAGATGTACAGTAAATACACTGCTGAGGTACATTTCTTCTAAATATTAACACCACAACAGAATTACTCCCCAGCAGGTGATGCTACTTGGGAACATATAAATACAATTTTTACATTGTAAGGCACTTTTACCCAGCATACATGAGTTGAAGTCAGTTATGACAAATTTGAGGCTTATAAGACAAAAGATTTTTGCTTCTGACTTTGTTTCCATGAATTCTGAATTAATGAAAGCTCAGGCCATCTCAGCACAAAGAGGTAACAGGTAAACCAGCCACTTACTTTTCTGCTACCCAAAGGTAAAGTGCTGTTCTGCTTCTTCAAGGCATGGAATGGGGTAATTTATTTCACAACAGAGGAGTTATTGAACTGAATATTATATTAAGCAACTGACACACTACGAATTAGAGCTCAGTCTCGAACACAATCAGTATGCTGGCAGATCTACCCCATGCAACCTTAGTTAAAAATACAGTACCTGCAAACTAAGTGCCTTTATTCTATGGGAGGGCCATGTCTGAGGCACAAATCTAGAAGTAATTTAAACACTGAAGGATGTTATTTTGCATTCTGTTCTGAGTGGCTGAAAAGTGTTCATATTCTAGGAGAAACAAAACACCTTGATAGACAATTTCAATAATCGATCTGTCATTGCAATTCAAGTCACACTTTTAATTTTGAAAGTTACAAATACAAAATAAAAATGATCAATGGCATCATGTTTAGCGCAGTAACTGAATATTTTATGTACACAGCAATATTTCTTTCCAAAACAGCATTATTCTCCAGGAAAGCAAAGAGAATTGATTGAATTCTAACAGGTAAAATGTTAGAAACTCCAATATACAGTAATTGAGTCCCTCAAGACATTAAGGGAATGCATAAGAAGACAAATGACACACGTTAAATCTTTTAAAAATACAAGTAAAAAATGCTACAGAAACTCATGTTACAAATGAACTGTTTTTGCAATACCAATCACAGAAAAAGTGTAGCAGTTTATAGTCAAATCAGTGTATTTTGCTTGTTTCCTTCCTTCAAATCCAGAGCTTTGTTGGGAGTTCAGAGTGAAAGAAGTTAAAACCCTACACAAACAACGTGATGTGATAGCAACAGACAAACATGTGGACTAGAGTCAGCTTTTTGGTTTTATTTAAGTAAGTCTGTGAATGTGCTTTAACAGACCAATTGAAGAAGCTAGGAGCCATTAGAAATGACAAGGTGTTCTGAAATCAGTCAGAGGACCGATCTGTTAGGTTTGGTATAGCCTAGATCTGATTATTCCCTAAAGGAACATCAAACTCTAGCAAGTAGAACTCCATGACATGATTGTGGACTTGACAGAAAGAGAAAAAATAATCACTAAAACAATACGGCTGATAAGCAAAGTTTCTCGTATAGTGGTCATAAGATTAAAAAATAAATACCAGTCTAGCAAAAAAAAGGTTCTTTCCTCATTCTTCTTACAGACTATGGGACCTTTATGCATATTCTGGACAAAACATGAAGTGCTCCACATGACACAGAACACTTGAGGTATGGATGTCAGATATGGTGGCTGAATTCCATAGCGAGTTAAGAGTTGTAAGTCTGAAGTAAAAGAGACTGGGCTGCAGAGTCCAAACATTTGTATAGTAAGGTTTTAATCACACTTAGTGAAGTGTTTTTTGTAAATCAGGGACACAGAAAGAGGTGGGTCGTTGGGGAAAGGATGAACTACAGCCCTTTGGCATGAGTTCTAAAGCTCACAGCTCAGAACCAGCAGCTGCTCAAGTAAATCTCCCGCATTCAAACAATGCTGGGCGGACTGAGCAATCGCAACAGGAACAACCTGAAATGTTCAAGCGTGCTTCGGTGTACACTGAGTCCTTTCCTACTGTGTGCTTTGCAAGCAAAAACAGAGAGTGGCTTTCCCATATATAGCCTCCATATGAAGAAAACACAAAATTCACAAAGTACCAGCTTGCTGCCACCACGAACTTGTCCGTGTTGTTAACTAGCTAAGATCTTCCCTCATTGCATGAATCCACTATTCAACTTACGCATTCCAAATCTTAAGGTATTTATTCAGTCCAGAAATATAGATCTTACTTCATTTCAATGTCTGCCTCAACTTTTGACACGGTACATATTACATATCATTTATATAGTGTTTCATTTTTTCCAGACACTGCAGACTACAAACTACATAATATTGACATGTAAAACTCTGCCACTTACTGAAGGCTCACGCACATGAACGTTTCAGGCAGTTCAATGAAATTTCTAACAGAGCTGGGTAGTAAAAAGTTACTAACCCTTTTCTGATTTTAGAAAACAATATAAAAGAATTAGTAGTTATGATGTCTTAGCCATTCCCAGTTCTATAACTCTGTCCCTTGAACCTGTTTAAAAAATGATGAAAACAATAGTAAATTTAAAATCATACAGAAAAGCATTTAGCAGCTCTGACATTACATCTCTATTTGGTGATAAAAATAAGGGCCTCCCTTCTTACACTGTTACAAAGTCAGCTGGATTTAAAAAACAACACATCCTCCCCATTTTTCTACAGTATGCCAATAAAGAGTACTTATCTGCATACACTAGATTTAAATACTTCACTGCAATAAACTACATTAAATGTATATTGCGTCTCAGTCTTGGTAACAGATCTGCCAGGAGTAACTTCCATACCTAGTTTCCATTGAGCTGCTGCTGAGGAATGTCATTATGGTCAGTGCCTGATTTGCCACGGCTTTTGCTTTCTCTTTCTTCATCCTCTTCATCTCTTTCATCATTTCCACTATGGTTTTTACAATAGAGTCTAGCACAATAAAAGAAACAGTGAGGACTTTTACTGAAAACATCTATCAAAACCAGACTTTCCTCTCAATTAGTTTTGAGATGTGGTACAAGTCAATTGCTAACCCAAGTCATTTGTGGTTTCCAGTCAAGCACCAGTTAAACTGAGAAAGAAAACAAGGTTGAAAACTAGCCAACAAAACGTCGATAAATTCCAGTTTTCAAGAACTACTCCTCCACTGCTCAGAGAATGAATGCCCTCTTGTGGGCACAACCACGCTGGCAGCTCAAATGCAGCAAGTCACTAACCACCAGCAGTTCAAGCAGGCAAGTATGGAAAGTTACAGGGTCCAAAAAACCCCAACCACCCAAACTAAAAAAAAAACCCATGAAAATAAGCTACAAAACACGTCAATAGGGAGGAATAATGACTTAAATTATCCACTTAAATTATCCTCAATATAAATTACAGATCAATCGAGGAGGAAAGTGGAAGTCAAATAATTGTTTTTCTTATTTTTCATGTTATAACATTATATTAAATTAGCAGAGTAAATGAAATATTTTGCAAAAGTCAACAATTACTTAAAAATACAATTTTAAATTACATTATTTTTTAATAATATGCTTAACTAGCCAAGTTAGGCAGAAAAAGTGTCATGAAGTATCTTCACTTTCATTATAGGTTCAGGAATGACATAGGTCCTTACTTATAAATTCCTCGTGACATATTCTCAATGTATTTAGCTTTGTCTTCTACTCCACAGTGGTAATGGTATGTCTTTATGCAGGCTTTAATTTCACACCCAATAGTAGCACCAGGCTGGCTGCAAAGTGTGCATTTCTGTGCAGGGGAAAGAAGAGAAAGGCACAGGTTCAGCCTTTCAGTCTCTTGTCTCTTTAGTATTCAGTTTAGTGTTCCTCATATTCACAGCTACCATTTTGGAATCATCCTTTCAATGAAAAGTTCATCAAAGGTATTGTAAAACAGAAATTATTTTAATACTAATCTATTCAACAATGAACACTAGGATTTACCTGTCCATTGCACTGAAGATCGCTACCCAATTGCATGTATTATTACATTTCCAGTATAATTTCATTGCCACTGAAGTTAGTACGTTAATATATGAAGAATCTGAAATGGTGTTTTTTCAAGGAACAATATTGATAGAAGTTGGTTTTTTTATTTTTTATTTTTATCCCTACATAAATTTCTTTTAAAAAACCCCTTGAATTTTAATAAAACACAATGCAAAATTTTACCAACATCCCCATCGATGAAGCCTTAATACATTTTCATATTAAAACATCAAAAGTTTATTTGTAGTTTTATAGAGTGTACTTTTAGTAACACAGGATCCAAAGCTGATGCTCTTCTACAGGAAGGCTAACGATAATTTACAATGTGCATTGTCGTAAAGAACCCTAAACACTACATGTTCAACCACCACTAGTTTTTAAGGTGATTCCTATCTGGCTACCTGTCCCAAAAGTAATCACACGTTTAAATTTTGTGTTTAGAAACAGAGAAGATTGTTTCGCAAAAGGCAAGAGGCAGAGCTATATACACCTTAACAAAATCAGCAACGTGTTCATCCCATTCTGCAGATACATACCATTCTTTTTCCTCTCTTGATTTCTTGAAGTACAGTTTTGATATCAAAATCACCAAACTCTGCCCTTGAAGTTGTTGTTAGCTGGACAGTGCCAGAAGAGAACAACTGTGAAACAAGCAAGTCCAAAATAATCTCAGGTCACCAACGCAATTAGAATTTTTTTTAAGTGCAGGAGTAACTGAATACTGAACCAAAACACTAGGAAAAAACCCCCACACTAACTGAGTAATCGATATCGTGAATACGCCTTCCGATATCCACCTGACTGCTTTCATTACATTTGATGCCTTGGAGAAATGTATTTTAAAAGACAAAGGAGCAGGCAAGAAATAATGACATGATGAAGATACAAAGTAATAAATGGGCAGTATTATCGATTACACCACTGAACTTTTTAGGACTATTCAATTTCCTTCCTGGCTGATGTCAACGTACCTGAAAAGCCCTGAGGGATGACGATGGAGCCTGGGAGTACCACCCCTACCACCACCATCCTGGTATATTCAGTTTAAACTGTCTTAAAACTGAAATTCAGGTACACAAAGTATCAAAGAGTACTCGAAGACTCAAGGCTGCTGGCACACACCAGCTCTCAGTTTAGCAAGGCTCAGCAGAGGAAGACAATCAATAAGCCACGGATTGCCTGGACTACTTATTAATTTTGAGCTACAACAGGAACCACTGAAGTTTGTGAGTCAAAGTCCTACCTCATTCACAGAAAGAGTGAGATGAAAGATAGTGCTATCCACACATGTTCATTGACATGAACAGATTCTTTTCAAGTGGACAGTTCTAGAAACGTGACCATCTAAAGGCAAGGGTTTTCCAGAACTGCCATGTCCCACTCTGAGTCACACACCCTGAATCAATTGGTCAGAAAATTTAAGAAGTTCACCGATTCTTCCTGGATTTTGTCTGAATGACTGTAAAGGAGTTTTATTTCTGGAGCGGATTCTTCTAGCTAAAACTGGGTTTTGTTTTCCTTTTTAGATATTGGGTATGCATTTAGACACTAAGGGAGCATTTTTAATAAGCTAAAGAGTTTCCCTGAGCTAATTCCATCTCTTAGCACGTCGCCAACTTTTATCCACATTGCTTGCAGTGAAAATAAATGAATTGCTCACTTCACAACACTTCAGTGCCTAAAGAGATCATCACACAGACAATGCTCACGCATAATTACACGTGAGGGTACTGTATTAAAATCCAAAACAGTGTTTCAGATAAAATTCACATAACAGACTGGTTAACAACAATACTGTTACTCACCATGCACTTATAGTGTGCTGCAGCCTTTTTGGCATTAAATATATGAAGCTTTCCTCTAGCTTCATTTTCTTCTTCACCTGCATGACAGAATCCACATTTAGGTTTTGTATCACTGGGGCTGCTTCTGTGGGGAGACCTGTCTCTCTGAAAGAAAAACATTTTACTAAAATATACTGCTGGGTTACAAATAAGGTTGTAATTTTTAAAAGCCTGTGGCCACCAGCTGGAGGCTCAGACAAATGCAGTTTTTTAATAAAAATTATATTTGCAGAGAAGAAATATGCAATTCTGTCTTCTAAGAAGTTTAGCATATTTACTGCTTACATAGGAACTGCTTTCTATTTCATCTGTGCCATGTGAGGACGTAGATCTAGTGTCTTCTGATTGCCCTTTTAAGTTTGTTTTTCTTGGTTTTCCCTTACGACCCCTCCTTTTTCCTTTGGGAGGTGAAGGCTCCAACTCGTGTTCATTGATACTTTCTTCTAAATCTGCTTTAGAAGTTAGAAAACATCATCAAATAACATTCTCAGAAATGTTACATAAAAACTAACAAAAAATACAGACAAGGAAAAAGGTAAGCTGTATTTTCTGTATTTTGGTCAGAAATAAAAATAGCAACTTTTTCCCATTTATTTCAAACATGCATCTGCAGATCCTGAAAACATTCACTTCTTTATACATACCACACAGCTTTGCATCTTTATAACATATGAAGGTTTAGCATTTCTAAGAACCTCTACTTTCAGACCCAGGATGTGTCCCCAGATACACATATTAATCTCCACTGAAAATAAGGCTCATTTAAACTACACTGAAACCAGCAAAATGTTTTCAGCCATGAAATAAGCTTTTTTTTAAAAAAAAGTTGCATAACTCCAATGTAAATTGCACTTGATATTATGCCAGTGTTTCTAAATAACACTTCTCTCCTCGCTTTCTTAATTGATGCCTTTTGGTTTGAGAAAAAAATTCATCCATTTTGGCTATAACATGAACACCAAGTTTTAAAACTGAAATGTATTTTGCCTCCATGAAAAAAATCCAAAATTTACTTTTAGCTACAGTATGTTTTTACATCTACAGCTGAATGCAGCTGCCAGTTTGCAGAAAAACATCCACACCGACAATATCCCAGATATCTCTAGACCATTAAGAGTATAAGAATGTATATTTTTAATACAGACATACCGAAGAAGTACCAGACGAGTTCCTTTGAAAATGTCAGCTCAGCTGCTGAACGCACCATAGAGCTGCAGCCCGCTACTCCAGCAGACCGCCCTTTTAATCACCCTAAGCTCTGCAGTTAATACAGACCAGTCCTGCCAACCTTTGAAGACTGTTTCCAATACGCTGTGGTTAGGTTTGATCTGATGTTGAATAACCAGATCTATTCAGTCCCTAGCAACTTTCCTATCATTAGCTGCTCACAGGAGCATCTTTATTTTTTGTTTTTCCTTTCAATATGCAACACCCAGTCCTGCTCAAACTGCCAAGGCATTTCGGCAGCCTTGTTCAAAGACACTGGCAGACACACCACTAAAGAACTTGCTTCTCAAAATCCCAACCACCAACATCAAGACAGAAGGAAATCTTAAGCGGAAGATGTGGAACATCTACGCTCTACATTCATGGGCCACTTAAGTGTTGTGGTATTATTATTATTATTACTACTATTATTATTATTTAAGCATTGCTATGGCACTTATCGCCATTATGTCACGGTCTCAGTACCCAGACAGGACATCTTATTTTGAGACTAAATGTTGCTTTGCCAGAACTCATCTTTCTTATCTATTATCACGTTATAATCAAATCGTATTTCTACCTCATGATTAACTGTGAATCAACTGCACAAAAGTCTGAAGTCAAAGCCTTGACTATATTCCCCAGCAGATAACTGAACTACTGGCCTGAGGCCCTGCATACAAGTGTGTCCTGTTAAACACAGTACATCTTTTATCTGCTGCTAATCCCTGAGAGCTACAGCTTCTCGTACATTTATTAATTAAGCACAGAAAGCTATTCCAAATGCATCACAACAGGTTGTGTTGAAATATAATCCCCCCAAAGCTTTGTATACTGTTGTATGGTTAGAAAGAGGCAAAATAAAATGAGAATAAATTAATACAAATCTGCAAATTATTTTGGATTAAATTGACAGCTTACTGAGCTATATACAGATATTCCCAAATTTATACTAAATACATATGTCTATCTACCACAACATTCCTGTGCTTTAACATATACACACTATTCTTCTCTAATTAGATGACAAAAGCACCATTTACTTTACTCTGAAAACATAAGATACGTGATGACACGGATTATCTAACGAAACTACATTTTACGTTTTGTTCTCAAAATTTACTATCTAGCCTTATTTTTAATTTATCATTCCATACTAACTTCCCCAAGCAAGATTAGGCAGTTTAGATATCGCACCTCTCAGACCGCATATGGCAAATTTTATTACAACCTGAAAACCTCTTTCAGTGAGAAGAATTCTATTTTATCTTATCCCTCATCATATGAGCCCTCCTCCAACGTGTTAGAAAACAACTGTGAATCTTTGTCTCTGCTTTCACATTTACAGAAATCATAGATGGTTATTATAAAAAAAAAAGGCTTACAAAACTGTGACTGTTGAATTTCTGACCCTTTAAATAACATCAGCAAGGAGTTACAAATAATTCTTTCAAAATCATTCCATGGATTTCCCTACTGTATTTGATGAAGCAAAATGCAGTCCATTCACAGCACTTACTGTTTTTCCCAAAGCTCCTTATCAAGCCTGTTAACCACGCTTTCCACCTCTTTGACCCCCTTATTTTCTAAATTAACATTAAAGCATATCCTGAACTCTCTACAGTCACACTTTCAAAACTGAAGAGAATCATAATTGCTAAAAAACCAAGCACACTTTATGAAAACCTACTTTTTATAAGAAATATCCCAGCCTCCTTAAATAATAAGTTCTTAAGTGTTTTTTCATTAGAGCATTTAAGGTTCGAAAAGTAAAAATGGTCTATTTTTAGAAGATTCGTTCAATGTAAGGTAAAAAAAAAGAGCATCAAGATTGCACAGTGCTCTTCAAAGGAAAACCCATTTTCTGTGCTCAAAACTATTACTTCCAAACAGTTCAGAGTTCATTGAAAAAATCTAGATGCTACGTGACCCTTTCGTTAAATTAAAATTTCTTACAGATTTAGGTTTCCTACTACAAGTGATACGGACCTACAGCTTAACACCATCGAGACGTGAGAATCTGCTCTACCACATCTACCTGCAAGACCGATACCTCAAAACATTCAAGTTTCTTCCGCTTTTAACAGCACTGTGCACTAGTGTAACAGTACAGGAAGAGAGAGATTGTAACCAGCTTTAAAGTACACCTGCCTTTCATGGTCTTTAACATACAATTTGGTTTGTGCCCTATCCCTCCCCTCAAGCCCACTGCCAGCTTACCCTGTTTCCCTGGCATCTGATGGTTGGGTGTTTCCAACTTCTCATGTCAGCTTGAACTAAGGAAAACACAAAAAGTTGTTCAACTCCTCCCTGACCAGACGACGTTTCATCACGGATATCACCCGTATCTGAATCCCCTGAGAGTCCCTAGATATTCCTCAACTGCCCCCCATCCCATACCTCATTACTAGATTGATTTTTAAAATCATCACAATATTCTCAGTGTCACTTTACCTAAAGCCTTCAAAGGAGGTGTCTTAGGACCTTTTTTCAGAAGTCCCTAAATGCTATATCTGAAAAAACAAGCTTAATACCCGATACAGTCCGAGAAGGAGGGGTGGGGGTAGAAATCAAGAGGAAACAGAAAACTGTTTTTTAAAACTGTGTTTTAAAAAAGCACCTAGGAATATGTGATTGTAAATTCAGATGAGTGGAAAGATGAGCAGCAACAAGCCCCAGATTTGCATTTTAGAAATCCATGAGCAGTACAAAGTGCCATGAAAAGAAGACTAGCAAAATGCTGTATTACATAAACTGTTAACAGGGAGACTCAGCCTTAGAGAGAAATCTAAAAATTCTCCTTTGATCATGACTAGAAGGGAAAAGGATCACGACGTTTTGCGGTTTAAAATAAGGCTTGGCAGAGAAGAGGTTGAGATATCACTGATCTATTCTATACGGCATCAGCTTGAAATACACACATGGAATTACCCTTTTCAAAAAGCTAGCTTAAAGCAAAGTAATGAAAGAATTAAGTGATTTAAAGGTTGCGAAAGAACAAATAAAAAGAGGATGTGTACAATAAAGGCTAATACTGCTCTCCTACATTACCGTAAACAATGGACTACGTGAGCCAGAAGCAAAGGGAGCCAAGTCTGTATGAGGAAGATAATAAATAAAACTGACTGGCAAAATATATTTGCAAGTGGGATTGAACATAAAAAGAAGCCAAAATGTAGAATGTGGAAGTGGCTCAGACACACTGTTACGTTAACCTGAAATCACACGTATGTGTTTGAAGTTTTACACTGCATTTGGGATAAAAGAGAAACTCTAACGCTTATAAAGAACAAAATCAACCTTACTGGATTTTTAGAAGAGAAACAATATAACAGAGAAAGAAAAAGTACTGTAGCACGTTAAAGTAAGATGTCCCTAAAATATGTCTGAAACCCAATGAACCATTTGTGGCAACGTATTTATTTTAAATTGAAAAGAAACGTAAAAAAAACCTTGAAAATCTTATTGTCTCAGTAGTCAGTAATAACAATGTGAATTCATGGATAACCATTAATAAGAACAGAGATTTGCATAAAACCCCTTGCAAATACATGTGGAATCAGGTAATGTGATCACAACAGTAGCTTTCTAACAGTAAATGATGTGAAATTAACAATCAAAATGCTGAATATAATTTTTAGGGAGTTTGTTTGTTTGAAATGGAAAAAGACTAAGTTACATGAAACTCTCTAAGCTGGAGAAAGTAAGAGTGGAGAGGCAAAAAATTAAATTACCCCTCAGGTCCCATCACTTTGTATGCTCTCCAAAAGTGCCAGATACCTCAAGAAGCTGATAACGCTTGTCCAAAAGCTATTTTTGACTGCATAGTATCTGTGTTACAAAGTACTTGCGATTATTTCTTTAATTAAGTACATTTAACACAGAAAATGAATAAAACAGTCCTACCTAACCATACAACCTAACCCCTTCTTCAAGGAAACAATCGTTGGCGAAGACTGAAGACAGACTTAGCTTATCGGCGTAGTAAGAAAGCTTAGGACAACTGCTATGATGAACCTTGTAAGTATGAGTTAGCTGACTGAGCTTCTCTCTGTAGAATGTCTTGCCCAGAGAGGAAGAAGAATTGGAACGTAAACATCACAGGAGAGTTCCCCAGCTAGGACAAACCATTCACCACGTTACTTTTATGTTCTTCCCTTTCCCATTAGCTGTGTGCTTTGCTATAGCAAATATATGACACATACATCATATAGCATATACGACACCACCATCGCGATGCTTCTGCAAAACGCCTCATTAGTCCATAACGGGCTGCACAGGAGACCGCTCACTTACTGCCTGGACCAGTGGGTTCTGGTGTAACGCTACATATCCATTTGATGCCACATTAAGAGCAGCATTCTCCATAGGACAGCCAAGAAGGCTGAGTTAGCAGATCTCAGGAAGAATTTGTAACCGTCCACCAGCAGAACTGAAAGGACGCTGAACTGCAACGGTACCAAAACTTTTATACCTGACTGCATTTTAGGCAAGCTTATGTTGTGAACCATGTTACAGAAAATACACCCATGAACAAACACTGATGAAATAATCCAACAACGAATCAGGATGTTATTAACTATAATGCCAAAAAGTTTTGGGTGCTTTTCCTGCCAGCCTCTGGCTCATGCAGTGCTTTGAAAAAGCACTCAGTATGATGTCAATCATAGCATCTCTAAACAGGTCTCACAGAGAAATATTATCCTGACTCAATTTACTGAGCAGTACGAGAAGAACAGATTTCATGTTTATCTTCAGAATAACATTAAAAGGATGCCGAGACAGGGAATGTCCTTATTTCCATTGTGGGAACAGCTTCCTGAGGCTTTTTAGTACAGCTACAACAGGAATTATGGACACCTTATTTTCCGGCCCCAGTTTCCAAGCATCTCTTTTAAACATTAATAATAGATAGTCACATGGCTGTCTTCATTATTCCTTATTACTATTTAACAGAAGAATGAAATTATATTCTTATGCTAGTTTAATGTAAACTATTCCTGATCAGCTACATTTGTTTAAAATTCAACATGGGGGCCAGGGCAGCCCCACCTGCAAGGAACTGAAAGATACCAGATTTCAATTTTTTCAACAATTATTTCCACTACATTGGAATAAACTCCACCAAACAGTTCCAAAACTCTATTCTTCAAAAAGAAGAAATGCAATCGTATCAAACTGAACAGTAATTCAACCAATAGTTAGCTGTGATAGTTTGAAAGCACTGGCACCAATTCCTGTAACCTCATAGGTACTGAAAGCTCAGACAGCTTGCCTAAATTATGAATTCAACTATTACCTGCAGTTCAGCTCATATTATTTTATTAGATTTGTAACCAGCAAGACAAAAATCTAGACATGAAGCTTGCAGTAACCTGGTCTGCTCCTCTGAGCAGGTGTCTCCAAATCACAGCCACAGCCTAGCACGACTTGTGAGTACCTCACTTTTACTGTCCTGCTTCCAGAAGAGTAACTCCAAAATCTATATACACAAAGTAAATATAGGAGAAGTGCAACTCTCCTATGTCACCTAAAGGCTAGGCCATACAGCTAAATTAGAAAAACCCAACAGTCTGCTAAAACAGATAACGAATTTAAGAACACAATACTTTGCTGCCATGTTTCATATTTTTGGATTCAAACAAAACAGAAGGCAGTCCAGCAACTCCTGTCAATGCAAGGAAAATGAACTCCCACAGCTCATTCATTTTGTCTTGGTGAGTAGAGACATACTTAGTCTGATGAATTCTTGCACCACGTGAACTTCATGACAGGAATAAATAACATCTAAGAGACCCTTTTTATTAGGTTTTAACTGGGTAACTTTAACTCCAACACAGGTCCTTCAACCATATTTCTATGGAGCCTCATGAAATTTTCTTTAACTGTCATTAAATGGCTAACAGATACATTTTTTTAAAGTAGACCTTCTAACAAAAGGCACATTAGCCAGTTCTCAGACTTGAACAAGTATATCCCCAAAAGCATCTGTTTTCTGAGGAAAGGAAGGAAAAATCTCACTCTTATGCAGCAGCACTGCCGGCAGAAAATGAACTGTTCTGGATTGCACCAAACCCAACACTCCTAAAAACTCTTCCAACATCCACGAACAGAAGTAATGTAATAAAAGCATTTGGACTGTAACCATTAAATCTGGATACAGAGAACAAAGGATAAAAAGCCAGATGTTCTACACTGACCAAGAAAAAAACACCCAAACAACAAAAACCCAGCATCCCAGAGCAGGAGCAATAAGTTTCCATCCAAAAAGGCTGATAATTCCTGTGGTTCTGTGCACCTATGCTGAGTGACAGATCCACAGATAAGCTTTAACTATTCTGTTATGAAAACACTGCTGAAAGCAAGGTTTCACAAAAATGAAACAAAAACAAGAGAAAAAGCAGCTGCTAAGTTAGCATCTGGTATCCCGAGCCAGTCTATTCACTCTTCTCTGCAAGCTTGCTCCAGTTTTACACACCACCATTCTTCCACATTTAAATTCCTCTTCAATATTCACATTTTCCTCAAGAAGTAAAACAACAAAATACATACACAATGCTTAATCCCATCACTCAACATCTTACAGTCACCATTTCACTGAGGACACGTCAGCATTTAAGAAAAATGCTCTGAAATCCCTTCTTAAACTCTTAAAACCCCCCTGTATATTTCTGCCTTCTAAAAGTAATTAGTTTTCAATGTAGCAAAATACCACTGCCATACAATGCTATAAATCATTTCTATAGCACAAATGCAATATGTACTTTTCCTTTTGTTGCTTTAAAGGAGGTCTGTCACAAAGGAGCCTCAGCTTCCAGCGTTATCAGATCCACAACTGTAAGCAATAACATTTTATGGGTACAGGTCTGCAAACTGCATGGACTACGAGAACGAACTCTGGGAAAGAGCACTGGGTAAAATTTCAGTCAAGTATTAAACAGAAATCAGAAAACTTAATGGGATGTATAGCTACACGTATTTCTAGAAGTGCAAAGCATAACAGAACTACATATTTTAAACAAAAAATGTGTGCCAAGTTAAATGCTAAGTAAGATACTATTGGATTCTTTGGTTTCTGTTGTTCTGAATGATGTTGTTTATTCCTCCTTCTCTTACCCTCAATCTAAGAGTCTCTTAGGATGAGCCTAGTTTAATGTTTTAATAAACTGCCATCATAAACATTTAAGAAAAAAGCCACTATGCCTTAGTAATTTTTCCCATGTCTTCTCAGACAAACATATCCATATAAAATTTAAAAGCCTTTGCTGTTAGAGAATGACATTGTAGAACTGGAGATAATGTTTTCTGAAAACTCAAAGAGAAGCACAAGTTCAGATCCTGCAAGGAATTTCAAGCAGAAAAAGTTGTCCATTGGCATTGGCCTCCATGCAGAATTGAAGGCATTTTCCAACAGATGTCAAACACTGAGCCATTTGTGGATAAGCATAAAAGATTATGTTTAAATACCAGTTAAAGAAATGAACCTCTCTCTGGACTCAAATGTCTTTCATATTCTGTTTCTGCTAACAAGCAAAACAAACCCCAAAACAAAGAAACAAAGTGCCAAAACTACAAGATAACATGGCCCTGTCTCTTTGGAGGATTAATATAACACAGATACTGCTTTTCTTGTTTAAAACCAGTAACAGCCAAATTAGAGTGCTTTATACAAAGCACGTGACAATAGTTACTTAAATAGACTAAACGACAAAAAAAACCAACAAAACCAAACCAGTTCTAATTTGGGATTTTCTACTGCCCTCAACATCTTTCTGAACACTGAAGTAACATCCAAACTTTACCGCTAATATATCTACTACCTGTAGCATTAAAATGTAGTGTATTACCTTAAAAATACATCTGGCAGAGACTGACATGATTTATGAAATCTGATCTTCACTAAATAGTCACATACTCCTCATTAATGAAATCAGACGGATTTCAGGTGACAGTAATGCGAAAAGTAAACTAACAACTGCTGGCTTACCCAAATTCAGATACAGTACAGAGAAAGGAAAAATACCTGCATGAATACACAACAGTGCAACAAGCTTGGAATTTGAGCAGACCACACGATGTATCTACGTTTGTGGCATATCACCCTGCACACATTTCACTACTCCCCTCTGCAAAGACGCGCGGTGTTTATGAATGTTTCCATACACCTTTCTTTAGTTTATCAAAACGACTCAGACATGTATCTGTAAGTGAGCGGATCACAAACCTTTCTTATTAGGTCCTTCTTATTTGAAGAGTTACACTCTATGTAATAGTTTTAAAAAATTGTGAATATTTAGGAACAATAGCAAAAATCAGCTGCTACCTGAAAAAATATTTTAGCTGTTAATATTGTGAATATTTAACTACAAATATGAGCCAGCTTCTTCCCAGAAGGGAATGCATTACTTCTACCCAAGCTCTGTTCTGACAGTACATCAAATCTTTTGAACATCCTAGAATTTATGTTTTGAGTTTTTCTCCACCTCAACCAATAATTTTTAGAGAAAATACAGAAATCAGAGGGGCTTCCAAAACTCAAATAAATGTAGTTCTAATTCGCACTGAAAACATTTATATTCTCCAGAAGAAATAAATTTAACCAAGTATCTTTCTACAATGGGAAAAATTTATATTGAATAATTTTACCTTCAGAGTTATGCGTAGTTTTCTTGTGTTTTCGACATAAAATCCTATAAACAAAGTAGTTGAAAACTGTCAAGTCAGTCACGATTCACAGATTATTTACTCATCTTTAAATTTAAACGCCAGTACATTTTTCTCCCACTTGTAAGACTCACTGACATACAAATCTTGCAGTGAAAATAAGCTTTTATAGCACATCACTATTTTGAATGCCACAATCATCATTAGAATCTTTTTGCAACATTTTTGTTTAAAGTGGGGTTTTTTGTTTTGCTTTGTTGCTGTTTTTTTTTAAAAACAAAGAATATGAAATATAAATACAAAAAAAACATAGCAAAAAAATAATAGTTACATGTAAATGCCTTGTGAAGGTTTCTCTCTTATCTGAGCCTTATCATGCAAAGCACAATAGTAGTGATATGTCTTGTGACATGTTTTCACATCACAGCCAATGGTCGCACCAGGGCAATGGCATAAGGAGCACATCTGTAAAGAAACAAAAGCACAAATCATGTTACTGTTGGCTCAGTATTTCCGAGTTCAAAAATAATATAGGTGCCACTCCTGGTGACAAAATAAATGGAGTTATGCACTTGGCATTACTCTTCCAGCTCTGAGGTGCTTTACATAGTTTATTTCAAAATTAAGGAGAAATTTGTTGCAATTATGCAACAGTACAACCGTCATACATTGATTATCAATCCAATGAAGAAAATAAGTCATTTACTTTTGTGGAATGAGTTTGATAAAAGTGACACAGCTATTCACCTAAATATCCCACTCCCAGGAGCAGTCTGTACCGACCATTTCGAAAATTTAAAATCATAAATTGTACCCATTTAATTATGAATTACATTATGAACAGAGGAAAAAAAAAAACAAAACCACTTATTTGGCAGTAAATCTTGCAGTCAGAAATACTGACGACTTGCAAATTTACCTTAGCCTCAGCAGCTAACTTTACCTCTTCTATACAGTTATCACCTTAAGTAATTTTCAGACCACTGAATTTAGTAAAAATACCGTGGATTTATTTCAATTAGACTAAACTTTGCTCTTCATACTTATACTGCAGAACAGGTTAAATGGGAGCTTATTGCTTTACTCTTCTTTCCCAATAATTAATTCTTCTCATATTAGACTCATTATTGCTTAGGATGGGTACACCAACTATCATGCTTCTAAATTGTTCACTGCCCTCCTTATACTGTGTTAGGAAGTTACTGACAGCACCACAATATTTTTCTCTGTATTATTTTTTACTGACATAATATTGCCCCCAAATTAACTGAATTTCCCATTAAAATACCCTCTCCCAAAAAACAGAGCTTTTTGTTTGTTGCAGGTTATCTACATCCCAAAAAGGTTACAATTAATTCCAAATCCATAAGCCTAAGCGTGCAATGTAGGATACTCTCTACATCTATACATCTATATCTTTGTGGAATAAACTTTCCGTCCACCACGCTAGCTTAGTGAAGTTGTTGTTAGTCTCAAATATGCCAAATAAATATACCACTAAAAAGTTACGTATCACCACCTTGTTTTTCAATTTTAATGAAGTTATCTGAACAATAAAAACACCAAAGCCTTAGATCACCTCCATTTACTCCCCTGCAAGCTCCAAAATGGCACAGTTATATACCATTCCCTAGTTATCTAATTTGTATGGGTATTTTAGCTCACAAATTTGTTATAAGTTATGGTTTAATATATAATAATGGCTGATCAAAGTTCTTTGTAAAAGCCTAGGTTGAAATTACATCCACCCGATGAATTTTAGTCAGTATTTCAGTATTTTGAAAGTCAGAAATGACTAAAAGAAAACTTTCTTTTTGTAAACATGATGATGTATCTGTATGAGCAAAACAAAACACAGGAATTCTTATATTGATTTATTGGTGTAAGCTTCCAGCCAGTAATAAAATATTTATTCCATTGGTACAAGTCCTGCTGTCCAAATGGTCACTGTCAACGGATCAATTAATTCCCAAGTTATATCAGGTATATATGAAGTTTGACAACCTGCAAAATAGGTAAGCTCTTGAAAAAAAATCCTCCCATACACAGCTAACAGCAACAGCTATGCTATCAGTGCCTTGTACTCCCAAATGTTTAGACTTCACAAGCTTTTATGACTGGCCTCTTAAGGTTTGAATACATGAACTTTCCTCAGCCAGGAGAAAGGCTTCACGTGTCAGTCATTATCACTTCAACCATAATGAAGTGACTGTTGGCCTCAATTTTCAGTGTGTACCTGGTCAGCAGCAGAACCTCCTGAAGGCGAGTAGCTATGTAAAATCTGTCAGCAGACAAATTTAGTCCAAGCTGTCAATATAATTACTTAACCCAGTGCACCACGCTGAGATATTTTTTGCTCAATATGTTCCTACATAAAAGAACAGGCTAGAACAGAAAGCAGACCTTAGAGGGGGTGTTTGGGCTAACTATAAACATTTAACTTTAAGCTTCCTATGCAAGTCAATGGAAAAAGACAGATTCCTCCACAGAATATTTCAGAGTTGTAGTTTTCTGACAGCTACAGAGATATGGCACCTAAGTTAAGATCTAAAATTATCTTGTAAGTTCTTTCCAAATAGGAAACATCTTAGGACTATGAATCCAGTAGGTTAACCAGATCCAGGTTTTCTGCAGAAAGCTGAACAAAGTGCCTGATGCACACAGCTAGTGAGCTCCAAGAATATATCCAAGAGGGAAGGAACAAAGAGATTCAGAAGCAGAAAGACAGAAACCACCAATGACATAAAAAGAAATAACCCTTAAAACCCATTTAAGAGACCCAAGAATCAAGAGTTTCTTTATAACCTGCAGTTCCACTTACTACCACGTTCTTTAGAAATTCCTAATTACAATGAGCGAGTTGTGAATAGTTATTTCTTTATGCTTCAGCTACTTAGAGCAAATAAAGCTCCCTGTGTTGGAAAAGATTAAAATGAAACACTGGATTAGACTATTATTATGTAATTGTAGTTCTACAATAGCACTTCGGACTACTCTCGGTAGTCCAAAAACTGGTAAATCTGTAGGAATGCTTTAAATAACAAAGATGAAAATTTTTAATGTGAGGAGTGAACTGATAATTCATTAAAAATGTTTTTTAAAAGCCTCACACATTTTCCCAAATGGACAACAACTAGTTCTAATTTTTTGTTTAAAATGTATTAGTTTCTTATGATTTAAAAAAGGTCACTGCTGCTCAATTTTCAAGAATTTGGTACAGTCATTATTGTATGCACATAGCTCATAAGACATAAGCTCATATTCACAGAATCATCAAAAGTGCCTTTGGTGGTTAAAAACCAGATTTTGGCCGCAAAACCAAATACTGGTAAAGGCACAGTAATACCCTTGCCAGGTCCCTAGAATGTGGGTTTCTTTCTGAAATCTAACAGAAAATATTAACTAGAAACTACTGGATTGGAAAGATAAATTTAGGAAATGCCATTGTTTACATGTAGCCTATCAAAAAGAAAAATGGGCATATTCTGTAAATGAGGTTCCAAATTTGCTTGGAAAAAATGCGTATCTGCTACAGCCATCTACCTTTGCCAACAAAGAAAAAAGTGACTGTTAAAATCATAATCCTGGATTTATTTTCTAATAATTCCAGTATTAAACACAATTCTTAAAACAACATTTTTGCATGAGAGCAGAACTTGACTGAAATAAAGAAACTACTTTTTATCCTTTCCGAAAGACATTTCAAGGGTTGGTTAACTGACCTTTACCTTTCATTTCAACGTATGTATAAACATATCTAATGAGGCTTTCCTTTCATAAATCCGAGACCAATTTTACTTTAACATCATCTTCTGTATGTTGCCCATTACCTTAGAACTCACACAAAGGTAGTACTTAAAAAAATACATATAATACACTAACAACTTCATTATAAACTTATAGAAGGTACTAAAATATTGTCTTCCATTTTCAAGAGCCAGAAATAGACTTACCAGTTTAGTGCCTCTCTTTATTTCTTTCTGAATATCTTCAATAGAGAATCCACCAAGACTCTCATTATCGGTGTGTGAAGATACCAATGCAGATGAGAACAGCTAAAATTATAAAAACAAAACTTATTTTTTAAGTTTTAAGGGCATAAGTGATGTAGAATATTTATATATATGAAACCCACAACGATTTAAAATTACTGTGATTAATGATTTGTCCCAATGCCACAGCCAGTTGAATTTTTCATTTGTTTGTCATCTTTTACTGACTACGTTCCCTTCCTTTTGCTGTGGGCTACTTACCATACATTTGTGATGTGCTGCCACCTTCTGGTTTTCTGACATCAATAATTGTCCACATTCATTATCTTTATTAGATCTACAAAAACCACACTTCCTTTGTCTTGAAGAGACTTTTTTCTGTCCAACTGAGCTTGTCATGATTTTAAATGACCTTAGAATGCCACTTCAATCCTCTCAATGCTACAGGAAAAAAAAGGTGCAATCAGCGCGTTAACATCAACAAAAGGCAACTTAACTCACAGTTTTAGAAATATAACATTGGTTGTTTGAAAACGGTCTGTCCCTTTTTGCCATTTTCTTTACACTACTACAATATATCCAAATAAACACGCATCCAACACAGGCAGTATTTTGCCAGCTTTTTATGAAGTCGTATCAGCGAGCAGAATTAGTTCTTTATGCAGAAAGTTTGAACATTAATATAAAACTTTGTATACTAACAGAAAACTTACAGGGGAAAGAAGAAATAAATGGAAAATACAAGTACAGCAATCATTAGAGGAAAAAGTTACTGCAACACTTTCATCCCATTCTTATTTATTAAAGTTTGTAGAAAATGCACACAGTAGAATTCATGCTACTGAACTTCAAAAACAGAAGGAAAAATCCGAGTCCAGCATCGCATCCAGAACAGGTTTTGAGTGTAAAAGCTGACAAAGTAGCACAGCAGATGAGTAACTACCCTTAGATGAGGGTAGAGATGAGAAGATAAAACGCTACCATTTTAGGTACTGTGCAGATACGCCGTGGCTGGGCAAACAGCGTTACCAGCGCAATTTTAGCAGGATCTACCGCTAACCTGCAGGCTGTGGAAACCTGTTCAAGACCCACAGTTAATTCAGTTTCCAGTAACTGCACGAGAGAGCTGCCATTCTCATCTAAGAAAAGTAACGTAAAATTAGAATCATAGAATCACAGAATGGTCTTGGTTGGAAAAGATCTTTAAGATCATTGAGTCCAACCATCAAACCAGTCCTAAGTCTGCCACTAGACCGTGTCCCTAAGCACGACATCTAAAACGACAACTAAACTCAACATGAATCACAAACTCCAAATGTTACTGGCAACACAAGTTAACATATGCTCTCATCAGGTAGACGTTACAAGCTCAAAAGTGAAAATACCTAATGAGCGTCCACGCTTCTTGGCCCAGCACTAAGTAGTTCGTGCTCATTTTTTTCTTCATCTCTCAAGAAATAAAATACTGTCCTCTTCAAACAGACATACTCAGAGCTTTTTACTTTGGAGATTTGAGCCTTACTGTCTGAACTGACCACAACTGAAATAAAAGTGTCCTCCTCAGTCTTCATCTACATTAGACTCATCTAAATAAGAAAAGCCACCATAGAGTTTGATATTTCTGTTGGGAAAAAATATAAAATCCAGCCATAAAAATAAAGGAGTTGCAATACATCTGGACTGTGCTACAATGGCGATCCGCACGAAAACACACGACATTAAATTTGCATAGGCAAACCTGCCTGCTTCTCAGTGCTGTCAGACTCTCACAATACTAATATCACTCACTATTTTTCTCATCAAAAGCAGAGGAATGCCTTTAAGTTTCTGCTAAAAGATAATCCTTCTAGATCCTCGCTCTTCTGTTTCAGCAGACTTCCACAGGCTGAGTTTTAACTGTTTGTCTTGCAATGTTTACTACAAAACTCCTGTATCAGGAGGTGTCTGCCCTGTATCTATCGCCTTTGCTTTACCAACAGCTTCATTTGCTTTCTTTTATAACTGGAAAGCAGTTTACTAGCTGGTGACGCAGACTCATAAGAAGAATGCACAGATTTCAGATCTTGCTGATTTGCACAAAAAATGTGCCAATCTGGATCAACCAGTCACACCCTTTTGCAGTGGCAATAGAGTCCTTAAGTGTTAAACACAAAAGAATTACTCTGCTGTATTCTTCTAAAGAAAAAAAACAAAACAAGACCATTCTGTAATCCCTTCTGAGTAGAAAGAAGGAAAGGTTTCTGAAGGAAAGATACACAGATTTTCAATATTTCTAAAATCATTTTTTAAACTTATAAAATTATTTGTGAGCAGGAAAATGACCTACAAAAGACGAGCAGAAAATAATATCACAAAGATTTCTTGTTTTCAGGTCACATTCAATAGCTCAATATAAATCCCCCAGTGATAGGTTAGAAATATATTAATAAAATAATTTCAAATGCAAGAAGTATAATTTGGTATACACACATTCACTTGGGTCTACGTGTTTCATTTTAAATTCAGATTGTACTGTTGCTATATTGACAGCAAGGAAAGCAGTTCTCAGAGAGATCAGAGATTTCCTTGAACACATGCGCAGGTTTTCCTAACTTACCGGAATAATTACTACTATAAAAATAGCTCTCCTTCAATTTAATAAGCAAATTCATATTTCAGAAAATGCAAATAATTTATAGAACACATAAAAAATATTAAGTGACTCTCATCATCTTTAATTTATAAGAATAGTAACTTTTCAAGAAAAAAGATTTGAGAGATCACTCTCATAGCTGGCTGCAGTCACCTAACACAGGGGAAGGCACATCACTACAGCAGAACCTGACATACCCAAACTTCTTGAAGTACTTTTGCATAAATACATAAGCCTTAAAAGGCTTACTCAGGAGTTAAAAATAATGCCAGTATTTATTTTGTGACGCATGGATGTTGATAACAGCAATGAAAAAATTAGATTAGCAAATATGTTTTGGAATACTTACTTAATTATAAATGTAATACTCAAACAGACCGAAAAGCATCAGGGCACACCAGAAAGGAAACTCACATTCTTTTTGCCATCAGATAAAATTACTCTGAAGGCATTTTACAAAGATATCTACAAGTTTTCTTTTGAATCCCGCTTTCTTTGCAGTTGTGTTGTCTGCATCACTAGGCATTAACACTTTATACATTTCTGAAGACTGCAGAAAAAAAAACTGAGCATGAGGAATATTTCAGAAGCATTTCATCTGTAGACCTCTCCCTAAATTATGTTTGCTTTCTCGTAAATGTGAGAAAACACTACCCTGGGAACACTTTTCTTTGTGCCAAAATGCACTTCTTATCCTGTCCTTTTAAAAACACCCATTTTCTGACAAAGATGAGCCAAGGTACGCGGCCGTTCTACAGGCCCAGAATTCTGAATGCAAACACTCAAACTTCTGTTTTCATCTCAAGCTAAATCACCCAAAAGCAGTTTGCCAAGTATCAAGCTACATTTCATTGGAACAAGAAGAATAATGCAACTTAAAAACAGCTCAATATTTCTGTTTTCCATCTTCAAAAAGCTAACAGATGAGTAAGACTTAAATAGTGTTTAAATAAACAGGTGACAGAAATCTTGCTTGTCAGCTTTGTCAGAGAAAGTCTTTGCGACTGGATCACAGAAAGTGATGCACTAAGGAATCACTGACTAGGAGATTACACACTGTATCAAAACAGAACACATGTACCACAGGACACAGATAATTTCATACGATGTGTTTTCCACAGGCTTGGTCTAAAAAATGACAAGTTACAGCTACCCTAAAATCACGAAAGAAGAAATGAATTTGGTGAATTTTCATTCAAAAATTTCCTATCATTTGCATTCATGTTTCTTAATATCCACTAAGGTATTCAACATGGTGCTTCTCCTAATAGCATCTTTATTTAATCTTTAAAGCAGCATGTTTTACAAACCCATATGGCTTGCACACTGTTTTACGGAGTCCTAGACAACGGATCTTCAAACGCAGAAGTGCAAGTTCAATGACTCTCAGGCACAGAAGGACACACTCAGCCGGAGACATTGTTCAGCACCAAAGAACGGAAAGTAACCTGGATTCTAATTTCTATTTATTGCCTGAACACATTTCAGGAGCTACTGCGTGGTTATAGGAGCTAAGGCCTCGCTTGTATTTCCAACAGAGGATGGTGATCCATATGCTGCACCCTCTTAGGTAAAGTTTGCTTTGCTGTGCAGCCTGTGTGATTACAAAATCATACCCCAAAAAATTTTAGGACTTACATCTTTCCATCCAGAAAATTTCACACACTCAAGAAAAACTTCCAAGAGAAGTATACAAGCATTGTAAAATTTCATTAAACATGCTGAAGTGGTTTGGACTCTCAGGAAAAGGTACAGAAAATACCTGTGTCAAATTTTTTAAGATGCTCGCTAGTTACCAGATTCTCTGCTCAAGAAACTTTCAAGTGCTTTCTACTCTCTAGGGTTGATCACCCATTATTAGGGCCATTATTCTGAAGAGGGGGGTGAAACTGAAGAGAATGAAAGTATCCCATAGGTGTCTGTAGTTGAGAGCCCAGTCACAAGTCTCACAGGAACCTTTAAGTTACATTCACACAGCACCCCACAGCCGCTATAAGAAGTGGGGTAGGAACTTATCAATGCAACTTCCTTACAAAAAAACCCCAAACCAACAACAAAAACAAAAACCACAAAAAGAAACCCACCCCACCCCCCAAAAAAACCACAAAGGGGGGCAAGGCTGGGGGGCAGAGGAGGAAGGTCCAACCCTGGAAAGTCTAAACAATAAGAAGATAACTAAAAATCACACAAAAAGAGCTTGCGGTACAGAAGGTCTGGCAGCCAGCACAGCCCGATCTTCAGGAAAGTTTCCACACTCCCAAGGAGAGAGGGAGATGAGCCGATAACGGCACCTCCGCCGCTCACCTCCCTGGGGGATCAGTGAGGGACGGCACGGCACCCCTCCGGGGAGGGACCGCCGCGATTTCCCCCGCAAAGGCCCGGCCACAAGCACCGGCGGGGCCTGATCCCCCGACAGCGGGAGTGCGTATCGAGAGGGGCTCT